TTGTTTTGGAGTTTCATGTGGGCGGTTTAATCTAAAAGCATGTTAACTACAGCAAAATAGTAGGTCTTGTCGAAAAATTTTTTTATTAGCTTTCCTCCATTAATCATTTTAAGCACCAATTTTTTTGCTATTAACTAGTGTTACCTGCCAACGTGACAAATAGGTTAAGCTATACATTGTACCTTACACACTCTTGCCCATCCCTGTCACTTCTTGGCAAGATGTTAATGTTGACTTCAATTTTAGATTCTTGAGGATCACGTTTGGAGATGATAGATTCGTTGTGGGCAATTAGTTCTCCAAACTTGCGCCCTTTTGTCCATGCACAAAACTTGTGGGTGCCTCTTGTATCATCCTTATATTTTTAAGAGACAATGTTAGTCTTCACGGGCCTCCCACTTTCACATAAACATGACACTTTATTTTTTTTTTTTTTTGGGTGCTTCTAGTGTATCTTGTGAAACTTCAACTTTGAATTTTTTTTTCACTCACAAAAAAACGACAATTAAATGGATGTGGGCAAATCACACCTCATGATATCTTTTATGATGTCTTGTGGGCTTGATTTTCTTACAATAGTACATCACATAGAAATATTGACATATCTCTTTTTTTGAATTTATTATGATACAAGCCCACACATCCCCAAAATATAATTTATTTGTCTACCAATTATTTTGTTTCTTTGTCTCCCAATGAATTTGTTACACATACACATATTTATAAGACTATCAAAAATCATATTACATACAAATTGAAATGTATGTTAGTTGCTATTGCTCATCAATGTTTTCACAACTTTGTCAAGGATATTGTGATTTGATTTGTATTTGCATGTAATGCTTTCTTGTTGTTTCTTCAAGAAACTCCATATTATAATTTTGTCCTTCAAAATCTTGGGTAAAATTAATAGAATTGGAGATAGAATTATACCCCTTTAAATTATTGTTGATACTAAAATTTTTAATATTATAAGTGTTTATGCTTTTCAAGTATGTTTAGATCTGAAGAAAAATTATTGAATGGCCTAGGAGTATTAATGCATATGATACCTTTTGAAGAAATAATTTTTATTTGAGGAGATTTAAATGGACGTATAGGTAGAGTGGTAGAAAATTTTAGAAATATTTATTATGGCTGTGGTTTTGGAGTGATTAATGAAGAATGTAGTCATATTAGATATTGCTTTAGCGTATGGTTTTATTATTGTTAATACTTTATAGGACGCAATGGAGAAAAATGATACATGTAGCTGACCCCACTTAGTGGGATAAAGATTTATTGTTATTGTTGTGTATGATTTTCTTATTGTTAATACTTTATTTAAAAAAAGAGATAAACATATTAATACTTAGAAAAATGGATCTAATGAAAAACAAATTGATTATTTTATTATGAGAAAAAAAGATCGTCGAGAATGTAAATATTTTAAGGTTATTACAAGTGAGAATTTAAGTAATCAATATCAAATATTATTTTTAGATTATAAGATGAAGAGTTGTGAAATAAAAAGTATTTGAAATTATTGTCATAGAATTATATGGGGTACCTAAAAGACAAATAAAATCATTTTGATGAATAAATCTTATGATTTCAAGGTTGGGAATGTTTATGAAGAAGCAAATTTTATGTGAAATAAAGTAACAAGCACTATTAAATAAGTGAAAAAAATGTACTTAGAGGGTCAAAATGAAAAATTTCTATAAATAAAAATACTTGGTGGTGGAATAATAATGTGCAAGAAAATAATAAAATATAAGAAGTTATGGTATAAAAATTTGTTTAAATATAAAAGATTAGAGAACTGAGAGAAATATAAAATGACACATAAGGAGTTTAAGAGAATAATTTGTGACGCTAAAAATTCTGCTTTTAGTGATCTTTATAATAGATTGGGTACTAAAGATGATGAAAAATTTAAAAAAGAGAAAAGAAATGTAAAGATTTAACTCAAGTAAAGTATATTAAAGATGAAAATCAAAAAATATTTTTCTCAGAAAAAATATATTCAACATAGGTGGATGAGTTATTTTGATAAACTTTTCAATGAATTTTCTAAAAATACGATCTTCTAAAAATACGATCTATGAATTTTCTAAAAATACGATCTACCTTAGTGATCTTAATATTGTTAATAATAATAAAATGTTTAAACATTTCCATTGCATTAGTAAAAAAAGCTGGGGAGGCTTTAAAGAAAACCATGGGTAAGAGTCTGTAGGACCTGATAATATTCTAATTGAAGTGTGGAAATATTTAGGAGATTTGAGAGTTTCTTGGCTCTTTAATATTATTTTAAAAAGTAAAAAGATGTTTGAGGAGTGGAAGAAGAGTGCTTGGTCCCCATTTTTAAGAATAAAGAGGATGCACAAGAGTATGCCAATTATAGAGAAATTAAGTTGATGTGCTGTACTTTAAAATTATGGAAAATGGTAATTGAACACAAGTTAAAACGTATTACAAAGATTTCTCTTAATCAGTTTGGATTTATGTCGAGCAGGTTTACTATGGAAGCTATACATTTATTGAGAGATTTGATGGAGAAGTACAAAGAGAATAAGGAGGGTCTACATATGATTTTTATTGATTTGAAAAAATTTTGCGATAAGGTTCCAAGAGATATCTTTTGGAGAGTTCCAGAGAAGAAGAAATGTTTTGATATGACTTACATTCAAGTTATTAAAGATATGTATATTAGAGTTGTTACCTGTGGTCGAACAGGAGGAGGATTGACTAAATATTTTCTTATTTCAGTTGGATTACATCAGGGATCGACTTTATGTCCATATCTTTTTTCTTTAGTTATGGATGCTCTTATTGAACATTTACAGGAGGATATACCTTAGTGTATGCTTTTCTCTGATGATATCTTTCTTGCAGATAAGACTATAGAACTTGAATTATGGATGTTTACTTTGGAGTCTTAAGACCTTCATTTGAGTAGAACTAAAATTGAATACATAGAATGTAATTTTAGTAGTAGCAGCTCTAGTGATCAAGTTGTAACTATGGGTGATAAAATTATTAAAAGGTGTGAACGCTTTAGATATCTCGGGTCTATTGTTCAAAGTGATGGTGATATAGATGTGAATGTTATTAGTAGAATTCAAGTTGGTTGGTTGAAGTGGAGGAATGCTTCGGGCCTATTGTGTGATAAATAAGTATCGCTTAAACTAAAAGGAAAATTTTATGAGATGGTGGTGTCCTGCAATGCTCTATGACGCATGATGTTGGCTTTTAAAAGAGAAGCATAAAACTAAGTTAAGTGTTGTCGAGATGAGAATGCTTCGGTGGATGAGTGACTTTACACTTAGAGACAAAATGCGAAATGAATATATCCGTGATAGTGTTGGTGTATCTCTAGTGACGGACAAAATTAGAGAGTCATCTTAGATGATTTGGTCACATTAAACGTCGACCATCTGATTATCCGGTTAGGAGAGTAGATGTTTTAGATTCAACTTATGTTAAGAAAGACAGAGCTAGACCTATAAAGACTTGGGCATATTGGTGGTGAGACTAAAAGGAAAATTTTATGAGATAGTGGTGAGACTTGCAATGCTCTATGATGCAGAATGTTGGCTTTTAAAAGAGAAGCATAAAACTTAGTAAAGTGTTGCTGAGATGAGATTGCTTATGTGGATGAGTGGCATTACACTTAAAGACAAAATGCGAAATGAATATATCCCTAATAGTGTTAGTGTAGCTCCAGTGATGGACAAAATTAGAGAGTCATCTTAGATGGTTTGGTCAAATTAAATGTCAACCATTTGATGAACTGGTGAGGAGAGTAGATATTTTAGATTCAACTTATGTTAAGAAAGACAGAGTTAGACCTTAAATGACTTGGGCATATTTTATAAAAAATTATCTTAATTTATTAAAATTAATGAAATAATGTCACTCAGTAGGACACAATGGAGACAAATTATTCATGTAGCCAATCCCACTTAGTGTGATAAAGGCTTGTTGTTGTTGCTGTAAAATTTTGGGTAAAATAGGATCGAATGCATATTAAGTTGATTTGCCTGAATAATAGAGATTTCTCATGTTTTCAAATATATTTTCTATCATCATTTAGAAGTAATTTCAAACGTTCTGTGCTGCCTATTACACTTATTGCTTGTGGAGTTTCTTCTACAAATGTTTTTACTATTCTTGCCTTTAGCTTGTGTTCCTCCATCTTCTATTGAACAGATTCTCACTGATGAGGGCTCATGTCATTTTTATCTAACATGTCATTTGGCTAGTTTTAATTTGTTATCGAAGTTTATTCAAAAAGTTGCCTTATTTAGAGTTTTTTTTTTATTTTTTCATAAAATGTCTTCTTTTTTATGAAAGATCCAGTATTATTTCATTTGATTACCTTTGATTGCCTTCTTTATTTTTCTCTTTCCTTTAATTGTTCAAGAATTTCAATTTCCTACTATTGGCTGATTCTTACTCCCCTTTTACCTTTTGGGTACTTTCTAATACAAGCCCTCCGTCTCCTATCAGTTAAGGATGCATAAGTGCTAGTCTAAATCTGCACCAAGCCAAAATGAGCTTTTTGCATTAGGAAGGGTCTCCCTACTTTTGCATTCCCATTATATACAAAGTTTAACTTAAAGTGAGAAGTATAATCAAATGTTGACGTTTTATTATTCTTAATATTAGTGAACTACAAAACTATATTTTCCTAACCAGGCTAAAGGATTTTCACAAAACTAAATGGATTGTGATATTATGGATGAAAGGCAATGTATGTTGTATTCGTTAAGCACTATATAGAAATATTCAAATCTATTGAGCATCTGACCTTTCATTAATAAGTCTATTTATGTGGTGAAATGGATTAATGTTGGATTTTTTTTATTAAGTAATAGATCATCTTAATTATGAAGACAAATTTGAAGAAATTTAGTACCTAAGATCAATTAGAAGTTTGATCCTACAACCTTTAGTCTGCAGCTATCAGATTGTAATGTAATTCTGATAACAAGACTGTTTTCTTGTGGCAGGTATAATTTACAGGGACCTTAAACCAGAGAATATATTGATTCAAAAGGATGGCCACATATCTTTGACTGATTTTGATCTATCTTGTTTGACATCTTGCAAACCACAGGTGCTCTATTTATGAACGCTGCATTTTTCAGTTTTTTTTTTTTCATGATGAAGTTCAAATTCTCTAATATTTTTTTTTTTTTTGTGGATTAATTTGTACTTCATATGTCTCAACAAGAAGACAACTTGCTAATCTTTACTGTCTAGTTTTAAGAAGAAGGACTAGATAAAGAAAATTGGTATATATATATATTGAAATGCCCAAGGGTGAAATTTTATTGAAATTGAAAAGGTACATAAAGGTTGTATGAGAGGACTCAATAAATATGCCCTACCCATACGATACACAGATACTAACATCCTAAAAAAGATAAGACATAGATAAAATTCTAAATTTTGCTAGGGACGAGCCAGCTTGGTCCTGCCTCTGCCTCTGGTTCTAGGAACAGAGCCAGCTAACAAATTGCTGAGTGTCGTGCTATTGCCCGAAGTTACTAAAGTGTCATCCATTAAGTTCTCAAGCTGGGGTGTGCCTCCATTCTTCTTTTTCTTCCTAGATGTGTATACCTGTCATTCATCATCCGAAGACTGGCTCATCTGATCTGTGTGATCAACAGATTGTCGGGCATATAGAAGAGGATGAGCCCCTAGCTTCTTACTACCAGTAACAACATTTTCATTCTGAAGAGATGGTAAACATATCTCCTCAGCATCTGATGCTTCCTGAGGATGTGGAGCTGCGATACTGATTATCAGACCGAAGAATATCCTTTGGAGGTAAGGATTCTGCAATATTGTTTTCAACAGTGATAGAGACTTTAGGATGCCCATCTGCCAATACATCAGTCGGAAGAACAGAAACAAAATTTTCTCCGGTAGTGGGAGGGAGAGGTGAGAGGTGGCATCGTGTCGTGTCAACCAGTGTTTCAATAGTCTGTGGAATGCACTCGGGAGCGAAAGAGGGACAGACATGAAGTGGGGCAAATCCAGTAGCATTTTTACTTGGAGGTTTTAGATTCAGATGCAAATTATAACATTGAGAATGAGAGTGTCCAAACATACTGCAGTGGGTGCAATAAAGAGATATCTGTTCAATTTTTACTTGCTGCCAAAATCCCTGATGCTGTGTGACAATCCATATGTCTCCCGAAAAAGGTAAAGTATTATCCCGTTCTATCAAAATTCTAGTTTCAGAAGGCCGAGTCAGATTCAATGTAGGCGTATCAGTTTTGAGAGGTTTACCGTATACCATCGCTAAAGCGAAGAGGAGCTGTTGATCATAAAGGTGGGGGGGGGGGGGGTGGCACACCAAGCAAGGGCAACAATTATCTCCTGTCTGGCAGCAGCCTCACCAGGTGGAACTAAAATGTCCATAGCAGTGGGGTTAGACCCTTCTTTATTTACTTGAACTTTCGATTTCAAATTAGGGTGAAGCTTGTGACATTTATCAAATAGGTTGTATGGGTGGGCCCAAAAATAGGCACCCAACCCACACGGTACAACATACACAAAAAAGTCAAAAAGGGTACATATAAAAATAAAAAAACTCAAAACCATTAGGGCGCTGAAAAAGTGAGGGTCATCCCAATCTGGTCCTACCTCTGACTCTAGTTCTCGGAAGGGATCCAACTAACAAATTGGTAAGGTGTGTACCATTACCCGAAGCAACCAAAGTATCATCCATAAGACTCCTGAGCTCATGTAGATCTCCATTCTTCTTCTTACTCCTGGAAGTGTAAACTTGTCATTCTTCATTTAGGACGCAATGGAGAAAAAGGATTCATGTAGCCGACCCCACGTAGTGGGATTAAGGCTTTGTTGTTGTTGTTGTTGTTGTATATGTGAAGTATGAGTTGCCTCTACACCGGATATTTCCTGAAGAAGTAGAGTTACGAGGCTATCCTGATTATTAGTCTGAACACTATCATTTGTAGGTAATAGTCTATCAATATTGTTTTCTATGAGGTTTGAAGGTGCCAACATCACAGCACTCTCAGTAACAGTAACAACAATGTCATGGGGGTCCTCAGGGGCAACAAACACCTCCTGTCTGGTAGTATTCTCCTCAGGTGGAACTAAATTGTCCAGAGCAGTGGGGTTAGACCCTTTCTTATTCACTTGAACTTTGGATTTCAAATTAGGGTGGAGCTAGTGACATTTATCAAGGATATACGCAAGCATCTTACAGTGGGTACAATCTGGAGGTCTGTGTTCCATGACGATTTGTTGCCAATATCCATTATGAGTTGTGCCCAGCCAGACTTCAGTAACATCAGGTAAAATAATATCCCTTTCCACAAGTATTATGACCACAAAAGGTCTGGTTAGATTGAAAGTGGGTAGATCTAGCTTCATAGGGTCCCCAAGGATGACACTAATAAAGTAGAGAACCTGATGATGAAAAAGTGCAGCTTGAGACCGGTAGACTAAATCATACCGGTACAGTGAGAGTTTCATTATTTGGGTTGAAATCATGATACCACTCTTGACTTCATTGATTTGTCTGCAATATTAAAACATTTCTTGTAGAAAATTCAGGTGTAGTCTTCAGCCACGATTAGTTGAATCAACATATATCTCCCATCCATGAGTCTCACTTTTCACTTGCCTACAAGTTTAAAATTATCACCACTCTTTCTGATAACTTCCATAGGTGAGTGCCTCCACTGAAATTTTTCAATAAGAATAAACTTGAATTTGTCCGTCAGGGTTGAAGTTTCTGAGTCAGAGAAGAAGATTGCTGCTTTCCCACTTTTTTTACTTCCTTTCTTAACAAAAGATTAATCACTTATATCATCGCGACAATCCTTATAGCTTAAGGGGAAGACCATCGTGGACTCCATCTGAGGTTTACCCACCACGTGGGCAAAAGAGGCTTTGTACGGTTCAACCAAAGAAAAAGGAAGCGTCATGCGAGTAAGGAGAGTTGTTGGCCTGAACGCAGTGGAAGAGTGTCGGTAGGAAGAGAAATTGTCGGGCGCAGACGCAACAGAAGAAGGAAGCAGTATCGAAACAGAAGAAAACATAACTGTCGAGTGTAGACGTAGAAGTATGTAGGCGTAGCGTTGAAATCAAGTCGCAAATGCGCGACACAGGCTCGAGAAATGAATCTGCGACGAAAATGCGAGACGCCGTTGCCGAGGCTCGAGAAATGAATCTGCGACGAAAATGCGAGACGCCGACGCCGACGCAGTTGCTAGTCGACGGAGCGAGAGTCGACTAAACGAGTTGTGAGCCCCTCTCCTTTGAGCGGTAATCAAATGCTACCGAAATCGCCATCGGAAACCCTAGCAGAGCTCTCGACTGCAGCCGACATCGTGGATTATATATATGTTTATATATATATATATGTGTGTGTATATATATAAATTTTTTTTTATATTTATATTTATATTTATGTGTGTGTGTGAAAGAAAGAGCTCATGGATGGATCTCTTAGTATCAATCGGCGATCTCTATGTAATAGAATGATAGATACTCAAAGGCATTTTTTGGTTTGTTATTTTAATTTTACATTTCATTTTGTTTGTGTCTTTTTTGTATATAAATAACCATTAAATGAATGAACAACTTAAGCTTTTCTAGCCACTTCTTCTGTAGCTAGCAATCAATACTTGTAAGGATTCTACTTATAATATATTGCTATTTTAAGAAACAAACATTTGAAGAGAGCAATCTAACCAACTAAAAAACATCAAGGAATGGTTCAGATCTTTAGTTCTTTATGAGAAATTTGCTGTAAGAGCTTGAGAACATAGAACCTTCACGTTGAAGCAAAATGCCATCTTTATCAACATTTGTAGTAGAAAGCAGTTTGTATATGTTAATAACAAAATCAAATAACTCGGCCACTAAATGGTTTACTGATGAAAATGAAAAGCAGAAAGCAGATTGTAAGCTCAATAAATTTTTTTTTTGCTTTAAAAAGATACCAATTATTTTCACGTTAAACTTTACACCAGCTATTTATTATTGTAGCATCTTCTTATTGATGCAAAAATGAAAATCAGTTTTTTAATTCACTAAAATTGTATTTTGTTTCTTCTCTTGTGAAAACCCTAATGTTTACTCTTGATATGCTTTCCATGAAATTTCATGTACTGGAATGAACAGGAGAAATGGATCTTCCCATCAGTTTTGTGTACTTCAGCAAATATTCAAATTTTAGTCAACGTTTTTGCATATATGCTTTCTTAGTTTTCAAAACTAATCTTACTTCTGAATCTTTCTAGTTATTACTTCCTAGTACGAGGGCTAAAAAGAAGGAAAGGAAAGGAAGAGCGCCTCCAGTTTTTGTTGCAGAGCCAATGAGAGCGTCAAACTCCTTTGTTGGAACTGAAGAGTATATTGCACCAGTATGTCTTACACTTCAATCTCAACTATTCATCAAAGTTGAGGCAACAATTATTATGACCTTATCACGGATTCACTCTATTAGCTTAAAAAAAAAAATCACTGATTGTAGCAAACTTGCTTTTACAAAACTTTAGACCATGTAGCATTTATTGTATAAATGTTTCCTCAATAACTTGATGTTCATATAAAATTGCTGAAGATTGCAAGGATGGATAGTGGTGAACACCTTTTCAAGCCTGGATAACCGGTTGAAAGTTGCATAGGCCAAAGCTATTTATCTAGCCTTAATTCTCGAAATAATAGAGTTGACCATAATTAGGCTAGGATTTCTTGTTGAGTAGGATTGATGTTGGATCTCTATAGTAGACAAATCAAATTAGGTTTTGTTGGGAGTATGCAATCAAAGGGGGACAAAAGTTGGCTTAGATACACCAATGATTAAATTAATTTTCATCCCAAAGGTGTAATATTATGAATGAGGGACGACCAATTACTATTGTAACACAAACCTATATTTCTACTATTCGATATGGGATATACTTAATACTACTCTTATATACTTTTTCAATCTCTCCCTCAAATGAAGATCTTCACATTATTTTTCACTCCCTATCATTTTGAAAGTTTTTGAACATGAAGTATTATGCTTGAAGAGCTCACTCAATCATATTGTGGAGTTGTTGGAGTCATCTACGTTTGAATTTTCCTTAAGCATGGTTATAGTTGTCCAAGAATTATGAATGTCGCAAACTGCATGTACCTTCAATCTTAACTGAACCATCGGCTCTAGTGGCACTTTTTTGGGTGTATAAAACTAAAGGGAAATAATGGATTTGATACACCAATGATCATCAAGTCTCCATCCCAAAAGCTGATGCCGATGAGTGAGTGAGAACTTATCATTTGATATTTCAATACAAATATAGTTTCTATTATCCGGTGGAAGAGTAACTCAATATTTCATGGTCCTTAGTATGTCTGATTATGAGTTCATCCATTAAAGTAGCAAGGGAACCGGTATGAATTCATGATTTTTGTGCACTAAGGAGACGTAATGAACAAAAGTAGTACATTATGGAAGCTACTAAGCCCTAGAGTAGTCCTTTATTTTTTAGCATTTTGATATATTCTTTCTTGAACTGTCTTAACTATTTGCCTTCTTTCCACTTCTATTGCCTTGATTGCCTCTCTATATCCTCTTAGTCGCCAAATTGATTCACCTTTGCTCTAGGCTTTTAGGTAGAGAGAGAAGAGGGGAAGTTTGGGTTGCTAGATCATGGGAATAGGGTCAGATAGATGGAGAAAGAAAGAAGGTTATATGGCTGGTTGAGTTGGAGAAAGCCCTCGTAGAGAGTTGTAGGTAGATAGAAGAATTAGGAGTAAAATTCTACTTGGATGCAATTGAATTGATGGAGAGAGAGAAAAAATTCTAACATGAGCCATGGTAATCTTTAGGAAATGAAACTCATTGGTGATTCAAATTTAAAACTAGGATGACAGTTTCTCTTGATTTAACTATCACTTGAGTCGAACCTTCTTGAAGGATGAGTGTGGTTCTGACTTCCTCTTGATCTTATTGCTATGTACTTTTACACACTTTGGCTGGGGACTTTGGTGTAGCCTTTGGAGCTCCATCTTTGAAGTTTTTTATTTTAGTGACTTCTTGTGTATCTTTGCGCACAAACTTGTCATGTATAGTATAACTTTGGTGTAGCCTTTTAACCTCCATCTTTGAATCTTTTTCTTTTAGTGACTTCTTGTGTATCTATGCTTACAGATTTGTCATGTATAATATATTTTATGCTTGTTCTTGCTTTCGGAGCTTGTTGCATAGTGAAATAAAAATAAGAAGAATGAGGAAATTTACTGTGTTGACTGTAGACTTAACTGCTATTTCTCCTTTTTTACGTTTTAGTTAATCAATATTTATGGCAACAATGCACGCTGCTTTTCAGAATCCATCATTTCATATTGTATTTTATGAATCTTTATTTTCAGATGTATCTTTAGTTATTTCCTTTTCAATGCGTTGGCTCATTATGTTTGTGAGAATTACCAAGAACTGTATCGAGTCATTGATAATATGAAAAAATACACAAAAATACACAGCCGTGTAGAACCATTCTTATTTATCCAAGTTTATAAAGAATCTTTATTTTAATTTGCAGCCTTTGATGTTTTTTTAATTGTAAAAACACTTTCAAGGCAGCTTTTGGAGACAATGGACAATTTTGAATTGTTTTTAAAATTATCTAACCTCTCTTTTTTATGTTGTTATTGTACTCGTTTCTTTTATGTTTTTATCATTTGGTTTATTTTGTATCTTCTGGTTATATGCGGATGCAAATGCCGTTAGTGCTTATTTTAATGCAGGAGATTATCACCGGGGCCGGCCATTCTAGTGCAGTTGATTGGTGGGCGCTTGGTAAGTAAAATAATTTCAACTAATATACAGTTATTTGATGTCATGATTCTTTGTGTAATTTATTTATGACTGTTCATAAAGATTGAGATATATGGAGTATTATTGTAATTAGGCATGTCATAAAAATGATTAAGAATATAAATTTATATGAGCATCAAAGATTTGCAAAAAAATATCAAATTTTTGCAAACTTCATGAAATGCCAATCTGATAAAAGTTTCTTTATGTACTCAGTTGAAACCATCAGCGCTCCGCTTTATCCCACTAGATTATTTGGATTGTATTGATGATATTTTCTCCCACTGTAAATCTCAGTTTGATTACTGATGCAGCGAGTTTGCATCAAGTAGTTGAGCTCAATTTTTTGAACCACTATAGCTACTGAACGAATCCAGGTGTAAGAAAAAATAGCAGCTCAATAACTTCAACCTTTTTATCCATCATTTTGCATCCTAGTTACGATTTCATAGTAATCCGTTTGTAGTCCCATCTATAGAGGATAAAAAGGACGTGCCCAGTGCACTGCCTTACTATATTTGCACCAATAGAAAAACCAGATAAAATGGATGAAAATAGACTTAATGTGAATATATTTAATGTGATAGATTTAGAAAGAAAAATAATAAGACCAAAGATACAAACCTTAACTTCTTTAGCTCTCAATGCAATTTTCGTAAGCATCTAAGCCAACGTTTCTGTATTTGTCAAGCTTAAAGCTTTTCTTTTTATGAAGTTATGCTGATTAATCAGATATTCTAATCACCTATATGCAGTCATAAGTTTGCTTTATTGAGGATTTTTGTAATTATTTTTATTGTAAACTTTTGAGTTGTTATCCTGTTATGTTTTCATGTTGTTTTGGCATGTCATCTCGCAATAAATCAGAAATGGTGTTTACATTTCGAGAACCAATTTCTATAGTTCTCTTTTCGTGTTAGTGCCTGTGCTTCAATCTTTTTAAGGTCAAACATGGAAAGCTTTTCTTTGGAATTGTCAAATGAAACTAAATGTTTGTTTTCTTGACTCGACTTAATATTTTAGATTTATTATCTGAATTAACTATTGCAAATCAATAACTATTATAGGTATTCTTCTATATGAAATGCTCTATGGATACACACCTTTTAGAGGAAAGACTAGACAGAAGACATTTGCCAACATCTTACAGAAGGATCTTAAATTTCCTAAAAGTAATTCGGTGAGTTTCTTCATCAGACTAAGTATTTTTATAATATAGAAAACAACCCAAATTTGATAAAATCTTCATCTAAATTAAAGGTCTCATATAAATATTTCTGAAAATGAAAAGACAAACCTTGTTGTCATGCGATGTTTCGTATAATGGCTGCCACCTAATACTGCAGGTAGGCCTACCTGCAAGGCAGCTAATGCATCGGCTGCTGCATAGAGACCCCCAAAACAGATTGGGTTCACGCGAAGGAGCTAATGAAGTTAAGCGGCACGTATTTTTCAGTGGAATTGATTGGGCTCTCATTCGTTGCATGGTGAGAATATTACTTTACATTATCGTAAACATATTTAATTCATTTTTTAGAGGTGTAATGAGCCGAATGTGGGGGAGCCTATTGCTTGTTCTTGTTCGGTTCATTCAAATTTTTTTTTATTTGACATACAATTGTAAATAGCACATCACATTCGTTTAAATTCGAATTCGTTTGTAGGTTTCAGCTCAAAATTAGCTTGAATGAATTTAAAAATAGTATAATCTATTTTTTTTCTTAAATCTATTTTTTTTTAAATATAACAAAAAAAATCAATATAAAAACATTATAACAATATGATTTATTTGATCACTTAATTATACACGTTCAAATAAAAGTTTGCTCGTGTTCGACTCATTTATAAATCGAGTTTAAGAAACTAGTCTTGTTCAGATTATTTTCTTAATGAATGAATTGAATACAAGCTATTTACTAAGATGAACACAAGCTATCCATGAATGTCGAGTTTTTTTTTAGTCTTGGTAGCTAGGGGCATCCTTAAAATGGTACATAATCTCCGTTGAATTTTCTTTGCAGAATATGCAAAATGATATCTACGTCCATGCAATTCACCGCATATTTCTTCAAATTTCTTAATAGCCCTACAAATATCTTATTTACTCTAAATCCTTATAATAACATATTGCGGAATTTTTGCTGCGCAGAAATTACCGAACCTTGAAGCACCTGTGTTTGAGGCAGAAACAGAGAATGATTCTATACCAGCATATGCTGAGCAGCAAAATATCTATATAAACGTGTTCTAAAGGTTTGGTCGGTTCCATAAAAGTTATGCAACATTTTATTTGTCATTATTTTGAAAATTTGCATGCTTGCGACGCAATTCTTATATGTTTACAAATCTAACACAAATTTTGACATATACATTTATAACACTTTGGTATTAAAAATTTATGTATAAAAAAGGTATATTTCACTTTTAAAAAGCAAGTGATAGTTAATTTTTTGATGTAATGTCAATATTTGAGTTACAAGTATAAACGTTTAGGTGTTAGATATGTAATTTTATAAAGAATTGCACAGTATTTATATAAGTGTCCCTTTTTTCTCCTTATTTCTTATTTCTGTTTTGCGAGTTCGTTATAAGGATTTTTATTTGGTTCGTTAATAATGCTCAGGTTTGTGATGTTCCAGATTAACTCACCGAAGCCAGTGCTTTTATGATGAGTAAGATATCAAGGTTAGTTGAAGAACGTTTTCATGTTATTTTATTTTCTTACTAGCGCCTGTCTATGAAATTCCTTAGCTAGTTATTTTATATTATAATGCGGAAGCTGATTTGTATTTCAAGTTCATATTCAAGCTTCGCATGCGTTCCAATAACCATCAGTAAATGTTTTATTGTAATAAAATTGGAGTGAATGCTAATGTTTTGAAATTGGCGGATCTTTCTGGTGAACCGGCCGGTTGAGCCGGGTTTCTTGTGGTAATCTGGGTTGCTTCTAAACCGAATCACTGATGAATGGCCTGGCACTTGAGCTGCTTGTCATCAAAATGGTACCTTAGTGTGTTGACCGGTTTCAAGCGGTTGGCCTTGGTTTATTTAATTCTTTCTAATCTTATTCTTAGTCTCTAACAGCATGATTTAATGGGATTGCTTGAACTGAGATTGAGGATTGTGGATATCTAAACGATGTCAAGCTTGGTTGAAATATTGATGTTGAAGGCCTTGGTAGGATACTCGAATTCATCAAAATTTTTAATTTTAATATTTATTATAACTCAATTATATTTTATTTTTAATTTTTTTTTTATTGGGATTAGGTGTGCGCTCGAACATTTAAAATGACATTTTTATATTATAAGTTTATGTTTTGTTTACAAAATATAAAATTTAATTATTTTTTTAAGCTGGTTGATTCCATGGTATGTCTATCTACCCTTCTGTGGCATAAATTCTAAAAGCCCCACTAGTCAGCAAGGAAGGCATACCAAAACCATGTGTCTGAAATGTGTTGAAGTCATGTAGGCCTACAAGAGAAATATGCGGAAGCTATGGAGCTCTCTAGAGAAGAGTGAACAAACAAAGCTGCTTCATTAGTAGCAACAAGCTCGAGCTTGAGTTCAGCTTATAGCCTATTAATTGAACTTATTTGAGCTTAACATGACTTGATTTGATTGTTTGTTAATCTAGTTGAATCAAACATTTATTCCTCGATCTCATAGATTTGCCACCATTTCCCAAACTCCTAATTGCAAATCACATCCCACAATGCATATGCCTCAAAAGAGTGAGAGAACCCAGATTTTTATTTTAAGCACCTCGTCTTATCCACCATGCTTTCGAGTAATGCTGCAACATCTGTCGATGTAATTTCTTCATCAACTTCATTGAACTTTATCACTACTCTTTACTAGGGCCGTCCAAAAAGTCGCTCGTTCACAGAAATGTTTGATTCATTGTTTCTTAAGTAAGCTAAATATTTAAAGTCTTTTGTTAGCTCTATTTATAAATGAGCTAAAAGCAAATAAATATTTGTTCAGTCGTGCTTAACTCGCTCTTATTAAATAAAAATAATTTAATATTTAAATTGTATGTTATATTTTGTATTTTGTATTTTGAAAATGCATTTGAATTGAACAAAAGTTGAAAGTGAAAAAAATTATTTAAAATTAAGTCGATACAGATAATCTATAGATGAGAATAAGCAATTCAGTTTGTTCTTGAAACTTGACTCATTTACACAATACCTTTCGATGCGCCGCCAGTAAAATGTTGTCTTACCCAAAGAGCAATTGATATAAGCTCTAGCTTGCTTTGTGCTAACGCATCAAGCTTCAATTTCTAACTCAACTTGAACAATTTATTTACACCTCTAATTTGAGAAAAATACTAAAGTTTTTTTGGAAGTTCGATGCGTGACAATAAATAACTGCCCTCAAATGCTCAATTCGCATATAAAAAATCACATAAAGTCTATAGATTTTGAGCATTATGAAAAAAGAATAGCACAGTCAATTTACGACTGGCCACTTAGGTAGCCCCAGAATTTCACATTAGCAGGAATAGTAGGGAGAATAAAAACTTCCCATTAACTGACGAGGTGTACTAGTTTTCATATATAGCAATAGATATTTTTAAGAAAACCATAATTTAACAACTAATGATAAAATAAATGCAACCACTCATGCCCATTTGATACCCAATAGCGCCAATACCATATGTTTATAAAGCTTTTAAAAGTGGTTATCAAGATCCTAAGATCAAATTCCCACCAACATCAAATTTATATTTCCATACTCAACGCTTTCAGAATAAAAACAAAATAAGGGGCATTCACAGGCATACTACCCAATTTCTATTTATTTACATATTTAACACTTAAACTTTACTTTTTTACATCTATACCACCCAAATCATTCTTATCATATAAAAAATATCATTATTTTAACTTTCAAAAAACGTAATACACCTTGTCATGCAAACGTAAGGCGGCGTATATGTGTAAAAATTGAAGTATAGGTGCTAGATATATAAATACATAGGAATTGATAGGTATGTATGCAAATCTTTCATAAAGAATGTTTATTGTCCAACATAGAAATAAAATAAATATCTCTTGTCCAACAAGATGGCTCATGCAAATGCGGGTCCCACTTCAGCATCCCATTCCCGTAGATTTGTGTTAGTGCCAACTCTAAATAAATGCTAAAAGCATTTCCCTGCCTTCATACTCGGTGCTAAAGAATTAAGCACTTTCAATGGCCACCCAGGCAGTCTGACGGCCTTGTTATAGGCTGCCATCCAGCACAACGCTGAAGTGCCGCCTTGAGGGCAGAAGAAGCAGGTTCCATAGTCCAAGTCTGGTAGTGTTCGTGAGCCTCAAATAAACAGGCACAACCTCCATCTTGCAGTAGACAAGGCTGAGCACCATTCAGGAACATGTCGCCTTCAGATTTGATCCATCCTGATGTACCCTCTTCCTTATCAGCTGCCTGCAACAATTACTAACATCAAACATTGTTCCGTGTTATTGAGGCAAAGCTTGATTTCATTGTTTACTGCATCTAAGGGTGTAAGTGCGCTGAACCGGCTCGAGCTCAACTCATTAACAAACTCACAAGCCGAGCTTATTGAATCATGAGTTCGAACGAGTGTTCAAATTCAAGATCAAGCTCAAGTTTGGCTTGACTCGACTGAAGAGCTCACTGATTCAACTCAATTAACATTAATTAAAATTTAAATTGGCCAACTCATCTCCACATGACCATAGACGAGTCCATATAGCCTAGCCTAAATAAAATTAAGTTTAAAATTTGAGTCAAGCTCTCAAGCTCAAGCTTTTTAATCGAGCTCGAGCTTCACTTATACATGAATCAACCTCAAGCTTGAGTTTGAGGTTACTAGTAATTAAATGAGTACGACAAGCAAAACTTCACAACATGAGTGCTTCTCGGCAAACTTTTAATGACGATTGAGCTCTATTGATCACAAGGATAGCCATCAATTCTTCCACTTTCTGTCATTGAACCCTACGCCATGAGCATCGTACTGTCTTCTATGCTGATATAGTTGTAATCAACTCGAACGATTCGATCAATGCCATAAATTGCCTCATACCTAGTGCATAACGTAAAGGACTATCTCGAAGGCCTACAACAAGCATTGCTTAGGTGGCTACAAGTTCTAAGTCTTGCATATCCAAAATTTCAATCTAATTGTTGAAGGCACTCATTAAACCTCCCCCACATGTTCAAGGAGGCCTGGAAGCTTTTCATAAGCTTTTGAGTACTCACAAACTTAGTGACAAGTCAAACTAACAAATAACGAGATACTCCCCAGAGAAGCCTCAAGAACCACCTTAAGGAAGGTCCTTGAATGTGTTAAACAAAAGACAACACTCAAGCACATTTGTGCCCCTTAAAATGGGGCAGTTGACTCAAATTGTATGACACAATTGAGAAGATCCAATTTTCCATTATAGCAATAAAGGAATAAAAACTAGAACTTGGGAGGTAGCAGCTCTTCCACAATTCTCAAAACAAAGGCATTAGTTGTCTAGGGAATTTATATTATTGGCTCTCTTGTGAGTCGTGAGGAGTCTCCTCGGCACACTCTATCTCACAAAATACGTCATCTGTGACCAATTCAGCAAGACGATGGCACTAAAAAGCACATTGTGAATTACCCGACAAATTTACTGATTACTTGGCTAGAGGAGGACAAGCATGAGCTTGTTAGAGCTAGTCTAGCATGGTATGAATTTATCTAATGGAATTGATCGAAAGTGACACCCATACTCTCTCTCATACGTGTATGGTTCCCATTGTGGTGGACCACATCCCTTTTGTTTGAACTATTCCACTTATTACACTAATAATATTGAAATCAAAATTGCCTCATGAAAATTAGGGTGTGTTTGTTTCTATTGGGTTTTAATGAAATCTCAGTTTAAAAGGTGATAATGAAAATTTGCTATTTAAAAACCATGTTCCAGAGCAGTTAGTATGCTTTAAAAATTCAATTTTAAAAGTGTTGTCTATGGACAAATGTCTGAAATACTCTACTCATATTATATAGAATTCATAGTTTTTATAGATGTATGTAATTCTCATATTTAACTGTATTATATAAAATAAACAGAAATACTAACGTAAACTCAAAAGCTAAATTATAGAATCAAGATGGGCTAAATTTTAGAAATAATATATTTTTTTTAAATTTATTCTCTTAAATTTAGATGGCAAAAAAGTAAACATTAAAGTTTAGGTGTTAGATATGTAAATATACAGGAATTACATTGTATGTGTACCACAAAAAACATTGCAAATATAATAAAACTTATTTATTAATGTTATATTATATTTTTTTTATTAACTTCCTTACTGTTATAATAATAATATTCATATTATTTTTTACATCAAAAACACATTAGATTAACTATAGTCATTAATTCAATTATTCAACTAGCTGTCAATTAAAAGCATATGGCAGGTAAAATTCCATAATGCTATTCTATTAATTTTAATAAATTTGATCGGCAAACCCTAACATGCTTTTAATATTTTTATAGCTATGATTGGCATGCTGTCAATTAAAAGCTATGTAATTTTAATAGTAGTAGCTCTAGTGATAGAAATGTAACTTCGGGTGATCAAATTATTAAAAGGCGTGAGCGCTTTAGATATCTCGGGTTTATTGTTCCAAGTGATGGTGACATTGATGGGGATGTTATTAGTAGAATTCAAGTGGGTTGGTTGAAGCGGAGGAATGCTTCTGACCTATTGTGTGATAGAAACTTACCGCTTAGACTGAAAGAAAAATTTTATAAGATGGTGGTGAGACTTGCAATGCTATATGACGCTGAACGTTGGCCTTTAAAAGAGAAGCATAAAACTAAGTTAAGTGTTGTCGGGATGAGAATGATTAGGTGGATGAGTGGCTTTACACTAAGAGACAAATGTGAAATGAATACATCTGTAATAGGGTTGGTGTAGTTCTAGTGACAGACAAAATTAGAGAGAGTCGTCTTAGATGGGTGGGTCACATTAAATGTCGACTATCTGATGATTTGATTAGAAGAGTAGATGTTTTAGACTCGACTTATGTTAAGAAATGTTAAGAAAGACTCTCGACTTATGTTAAGAAAGACTGAGGTAGACCTAGGATGACTTTGGCATATTGTATAAAAAATGATCTTAATTTATTAGAGTTGAATGAAAATATAACTCTTAATAGGATGCAATGGAGAAAAAAGATTCATGTAGCCGACCCCACTCAGTGGGATAAATGTTTTGTTGTTTTTGTTGTTGTTGATTTGTTCCCTGAAAATTGGTAGGCAAGCCCTTTGGATATAGTAAAGAATTTGGACGCGAGAAGCGGGATGCGGGACAGGGAGCGGATGTGGGCAGAGAGCTGCGTCGCGATCTCCGAAAAAAAATCTACCACCAGTTTCTAATGTGATTCATGGAAGCTCAATTAAAACGCCTGATTTGGGAACTCGGTTCCAAAAGCGGTGGAAAAACTGAAACAAATGTACCCATAGTCTAACTTTAATTGATTTTGCTAGGTATTACTTGAATAATTGAGCTCAAAGAGTAAGATTAGGTTCAAGACAAACAAATCAATTAAGAAAACTTGGGCTTTTCCTAATTTCTCAATGAATCAAGTGCAATTCTTGGGCGACCCGTCAATCAGAATGATGAACCTCATCATTACATAAAAACAGTGAATGAGATGCGCGCGTAATTTATAGGGGTCGACTAAACTCAGTGCTTTTAAGAGACTACTACGATTTAGATAGTCTGTAATTGTTGTAGCTGGCTATGCAGCTTCGCTTGGAACCATCTTTAAACAAAAGATGAGTATTTTGGAGGACTACTGTTATCCAATACAACTACTTTGTTGCAATCGACTAGAGTCAAGATGGCTTGTACAAGTAGGCTTAAATCAATTATGACTTAGCCCACCAAATCAAATAGGCTTGACAACCTAGACCAGGCCAAAATAGATATACAAAGTAAGAGATAGCGTAAAAATATTATTTGTAAAAAAATTGGAATATTCATTCAATTCAAATTTACCATCTCTGTGAGATATTTAAAAACCAACTTCTTCTTCCCAGCTTCGTATATGTTGCACTGAGAAAGAATCTGAAACCAAAGCATAAAAATTGGTTGACATACTATTCGAGTTTTTAAGATTTTGATTAGAAAAAAAAACTTACAAATTCCCCTGGATAACAAATACCTGTGATTCAACACTAGCACAAACGGCATATATTCCCCAACTTCTTGTGTAATTATTGTAAAGGTGAACTTTTGCAAATCTAACACGTGGGTGTCTTTGCTTCGTTCCATCAAAAAAACAGTGGTGAATTGTCACTCGAATGCATCGATCACTAATACTGCTGCTAGAAGCTCCAATTATTAATGATTTATTATGCATGGAGAAATGACATCTGCTTACAAAAAACCATGTAGATCAGAAACATCAATAATAATAATAATAATAATAATAATAATAATAATAATAATAATAATAATAATAATAATAATAATAATAATAATAATAATAATAATAATAATAATAATAATAATAATAATAATAATAATAATAATAATAATAATAATAAGCAGAAATTATAATTTTTACCATAAAAAAAGCATAAAATGATAGAAAGCATAACTTCATCTATTATATACTTAATACTCATAATGCTACAAAGCTGACAGACAAACACTTGATAAAAAGTTTTGTATACCCTTATACCGCAGAAACAATCATTAGAAATTTCAAGATAAATAAAACTTTTTTAGATTATCAAAGCTACTGTGAGACCCCCCAAGATTAAGCCCATAAGATATTTCAACCTTTTCATTTTTTTCACATACTTCAAATATACAAGCATCAAGCAAAAACACTAAGCATAATTGCATATTATTAAGGTGCATTTACATTCTTACCATCCAATTCCTAAATATCTACATATCTTACACATAAACTTTGTTTTTAGGTTTTTACCATTCAAGTCTTTCATATCACATGAAAAAGACCTCCATTTTGATTTTAAAAAGGTGAAATACACCTTTTAATGTATGGGTAAGAAAGCACATATTTAAAAATTGAAGTTAAGGTGTTAGATATGTAAAAACATAAGAATTGAGTGGTATGTATGTAAATCATTCTTAACTTAATTGATGCTATGTTTCATGACGTTGCTTTAATATAAACGTCGTAATTCGGAAACCAAAGACACAATGCTAATTGGGTTGTTTCAGAAAGTAGCCATTCATGTCCAATGCTTCTATGATGTAGTGATGTACCGAACTTTTAACAATTTTTCAACATCATGAAAATTATTATGTAGTCATGAATACCGGTAACCTTGTGAGAATCTCTCAAAAACAAAACAAATAATTTACAAAATTCACTTTTGGCATACCTTGAAATTGTAATGTCAGTACTTTCTTGGGTAATGTCAATCAATCCATCATCAAAATCACGCAAACTACATCGGTCTACCCAAATATGTCTCGATCTAGGTTTTATTTGGATACCATCAGCATCTTCTCCTCTACCACCTTCAAACTCCAAGTTACATATAATGACATGTTCACACTCGGCTAACCTCAAGCCTTTGCCAGTTATCTTTATCCTTTGTCCTCGACCATCAATGGTCTTGTAAGAAGATACTCTCAAAATTGACAAAAGCTGAATTGATCCTGAAACTTCAAAAACTATCCAAAGTGGCTCCTTTCTGCGACAACCCTCACGGAGAGAACCACATCCATCATCTGCACGAGGATTTCCATTTTACATTAAAAAAAAGAGGGAAGATTTACATGCTACCACTCAATTCCTTTGTATTTACATATATAACACCTGGAGTTCAATTTTTTACATAAATGTCATCTTATCTAAGTATGAAAAGATGTATTTCACTTTTTTTAAAATTAAAATGGTGGTATTTTTTATGTGATATAAAAGATTTGGATGGTATAAATGTAAAAAAGTATAGGTGTTAGATATGGAAAAAATATTACGTGCGGATTTGGTGGTATTGTGATGGCATTCACTACAATACAATCACAATACCACCATAATACTAACAATTCCGCACGTAATATTCACTTAGATATGCAAATAAATAGGAATAAGGTGGTATGTATCTAAATGCCCCAGTGATAAAATAATAGCCATCACTTTCATAAGAATCCAACATAAATAGTCTCTTAATTCAAGTACACAAGAAAGGAGCTTAAGAATAGCCCTTCTGAAGTTACTTGTCACCGCTTTTTGGCAAACTCTTGAAAAATACAAGAATAAATATTCCCAATCATTAGACTAATTTTACACCTTTTAACACAATGATGATATTTCAATTATCAACGACATAAATCTTTTCAATACTATTTTCACCGACACTTTAAAGCACTCACAAGTTACACTAGCCAACACTGTATGACCATTTTTAAAGTGAATTTAAAAAAATAAATGTGAAAAAAAAAGCGAATAAAAACAAGCAACTTCCTATAGCACAAAAGGAATATGTACCAACTATTTGAATCACAAACAACTCACAATGGAAAAATTCGGATGACAAAGGCTAAGGGCTTATGTTAGATCAACAAACAAAGTGAAGCTAAACATTATTAAGGCTTATGATGATTATAAGAAAGATAAGCTCTAAAAAAGTCGTGAAAAAAACAAAAACTACACTTATATGATCGGCTTGATCCAAAAAAAAAAAGAAAAGGAAATATATAAAAAAACTACTACTAGGATAATACATTTAGGATTTAGAAATGTTGATCAAATTAGACGTATTGGAAAAGAAGATCATAGTATCTTAGTTAAAAGACGAGAATTCTATTTTGAGAAAATTTTAGATAAGAAGTTTAATGAATAATTTATTAATGAAAAGTGTATATAAATAAACTAATAAAGGATATTATATGTTAGTTAAAATAAGGGGTAAAATAGAGTTCTCCTTGAAATAGGGTATCCAAGTAAGATATAGATTAATATTTGGAGTTATAAGAGATAGAATAGTGTTCGATCAATAATTTTTTAATGAAATTTTGAAAACTACTAAAAATTAGATATTGTAAGAAATAGTATCAAGTAACAATTTTAAAGAACAAAATGAGATGTACAAAAATATTCTAATTATATTGGAATCTAACAAAAAGATTTTTCATAATCATTTTGGATTTAGGTCTACTATAGAAGTTATACAATTATTGAGAGGTTTGATGGAGAAGTTCGGAGATAATAAGGAGAATCCACATTTGATTTTTATTGATTTAGAAAAAGCTTACAATAAGATTCCAAGAGATATCCTTTGGAGAGTTCTTGAGAATAAAGGTGTTGATATGACTTATATTAAAGTCATTAAAGATATTAATTGAGTTCAAACTGAAGGAAGATTGACCAAATATTTTCCTATTTCTGTTGGATTATATCATGGATCGTCTTTAAGCCCATATCTTTTTCTTTAATCATGGATGGTCTTACTGGACATTTATAGAAGGATGCACCTTGGTGTATGATTTTTGCTGATGATATCCTTCTCGTGAATAAGATGAGAGTAAAAACTGAGGAAAAACTTGAATTATGGAGGTCTACATTAGAGTCTAAAGGCCCTCATTTGAGTGGAACTAAAACTGAATACATGGAATGTAATTTTAGTAGCTCTAGTGACAGAAGTGTAACTTTGGGTGATCAAATTATTAAACGGTGTGAACGATTTAGATATCTCGAGTCTGTTATTCAAAGTGATGGTGATATAGATGGAGATGTTAATAGTATAATTCAAGTTTGTTGGTTGAAGTGGAGGAATGCTTCGGGCCTTTTGTGCGATAAAAAAGTACTGCTTAGACTAAAATAAAAATTTTATAAGATGGTTGTGTTTTATAAGATGGTTTTATAAGATGGTTGTGAGACTTGCAATGCTTTATGGCGCTGAATGTTGGCCTTTAAAAGAGAAGCATATTACTAAGTTAAATGTTGCCAAAATGAGAATGATTCGATGGATGAGTGGTTTTACACTTAGAGACAAAATGCGAAATGAATATATCTGTGATAGAGTTGGTGTACCTTCAGTGACAAACAAAATTAGAGAGATTCGTCTTAGATGGTTTAGTCACATTAAACGTCGACCATCTGATGATCCTATTAGGAGAGTAGAGGTTTTAGATTCGACTTATGTTAGAAAAGACATAAGTAGACCTAGGAAGACTTGGGCTTATTGTATAAAAAATGATTTTAATTTATTAGAACTAAATGAAAATATGACACTATATAGGACGCAATGGAGAAAAAGGATTCATGTAGCCGACCCCAAGTAGTGGGATTAAGGTTTTGTTGTTATTGTTGTTGTTGATATTGGAATCAAACCTAGTTGATATCATATATGCCAAGAAGATTTATCATGAAAGTAAAAGCTGTACTAAAAAATGTAATAAAAACATGTAGATAGCAAATAATTAATTTTTATATAATTTTCATTGATCTTTGAAGGGAAAATGGTATACTACTCTGAGAATTAATTGAAGTGTATTAAATAAGAAAGACAGGTGTCAACGATATGCTGAAATGATTAAGAATTTGAAAGATGAATCATTAACCAGTATTAAAAATATTTGGGTGGTAGTTAGAGAATTTTAATAATAAAAATAAGATTACATCAACGATCAATATTAATTTCTATAGTTTTGTAGTTTTTATGAAGAAGCTTAAAAAATTATTCAAAGCGTGCTATTTTAGCATATGATTTTCATAAATAAGATAGATCTAATCTATGAGACATTAATTTGTTGAAATAAATAAAAATTAGAATGTTGGAGTGAATATTTAGAAATAAAAGGCATAAAATTAATGTAACAAAGGTTGCATATTGCAAGTAATTTTAATGCGGTGTGTGGTAAAGATTCATAAAATAAAACCTAAATAGTTTGGGATAAAAATAATGAGAATGCAATAAAAATTTCTTGGGATAAAAGTAATGATAATGCAACAAAAATTTCTTAGTTGATACAATTAGAAGAAAAAATGATACCTTCATGTGATAGGTTAACATATCTCAGCTCTATAATATAAAGAATGAGATATAGATGAGAATGAGACTTCTATAATTAAGGCTAAGAAATTAACATGAGGAAGTCTCAGAAACTTTATGCAATAAAAATGAATCATTAAGACTTAAAGGAAAATTTAATAAAACAATATAAAGATTGATTATGCTAAATGCATCCTAGTGTTACTAGTAAAATAAGTTTTGATAGTTTAGTTGAGGATGATGCAAAATGAAAATATAAAGATGGATAAGTGAAAATTTTAATGATAATAAGTTATTGAATGGTTCAATTAAAAAGTCTAGCATTTATTGAAGATAAAATACTGGAAAATAGACTTAATGGTTTGAAAATATTACAAACAGGGTACAACATTTACCCATTAGACGATCAGATAAATTTACCATAGCGATACATTAAAAAGGATTAAATTGCTTCAAAATAATTTAATAGGAATAGAAATAAATAAGCATGCATAGAAAACCAATTTTGGATTTTTGAACTCATTCCCATAGCAAGGTTTAATACCTTAAGAAGAACTCAATAAGAACAAATGAAAAAATGGAAATGTTCATAATATATACCTCAAATAGTTGAGAAAAGGCTAAAGATGATGATGATTGCTCAAATATAGAAAACAAACAATCTCTTAAAGCCAAAAATATCATCAATAAAATACAAACTAGAGGCGTTTCAACAACTATTATAAAAAGAAGCTATTTCCAAGCTTAAATATGATTCTCTCAAACGAATAAGAAACAAATGGATAAATGGCACCAAAAAAAAAAAAAAGAACATTCAGACTTTATACTCAATATTCATCCTCATTTTGCTTAATTCACCCAATTTCCCATTTGCAACCTTACAAACCAAATACATCTTTTACATGTATTTAACATTTGCATTTTTGGTATAATTTCATAACTGCATATGCGACGCATTACCAATAAGTGTGAGAGCTCTCATGCCTGTATTCCAACTTCTATCAGATGCTTAACATTAATTATATTTAAATTTAATAAATATTTAATAATTTTTGCAACTATATCATAGAGTTTGTAAGTATCCCAATAAATTTAACTAAAGAGTTTTTTTCTGTTAATAAATAAAAAGATTAAGGATAAAGATTTTGTTTTTTAAAAATAAATTTTAATCTTAGTTTACTTTAATTGATTTTTAATTCAACTTCCCCCTTTCAAATTCTGGTTTACTGATTGATTGTAAGGAAAAAGTGAATGGCTTGATCATGAATCTACAGCCATCCATTTGAGCTCCTTTTAATTTTTGAACCATTATTTCACCAAAAGAGAAAGAGAAGTTTAAAAACTAAAAAATATAGAAGTCATTGATGTTCATGGATTAAGCATAGCATACACCCTGCACATAAATCCAAACTGAACTAGCGAGAAGCATTACTTACCATTCAAGTTGGTGACGGCATACACAGCGCCATGGAGGCCACCAATGGCGTGCCTACCAAAACCCTCGGCCTTACCAGCAAGGGCACGGAGGCTGCAATCAACGTTGTGGTACGGGAGAGCTACCATTGCCTCTTCGTCTCCCACCTCCTACTGGCTCTTCTAAGCTATCTCGGCGAAGCCTTTTTAAGGGAGGAGCAGCGGCCGGTTCGTCCATTACCGGACGTTTCGATCGAGCGGTGATGGCGGCTGGCTGGTAACGAAGAACGAAAAAAAAAAAACCATCTGAATTTGATGGAAGAGAACCAGCTGTTCGCTTTTTCAGTTCTGAAGTTGCAACCGAAGTTGTAGAGATAGATAATTTGCAGAATTGCCGCCACTGCTTCAACCATTGCCGCTCTGTAGAGGGGCTAACGAATTTTCCGTTCCAAACAAAAAAAAAAAAAAACTTGTTTCTCATTTATTCAAGCATCTTTTCCCAAAAATGTATTCATATATCTAATATCAAAATTTTAATTTATATATATATAAAAATTTAAAATAGTGGTATTTTTTATGTTATTAAAAATTTATCTTATTAAACATAAGAAAAATAAAATTTAAATATTATATATGTATATTAAAAATGTGTTAGAGTGGATCTCGAGGAGATCCAACACTTCAAAAGAGAGGAAACACTATAAAGACAGGCCTGGAGACAAAAGACCAAGAGACTCACTTATCCGAGCAGATATGGTAGCCATCTGAGCTAGGGTTGAAGGTCAACCAAGCTAGAAGAAACACAAAAAGAGCAACCGAACAATCGAAATTTAAACCAAACATCTAAAGCAAAATATATAAGCATCCGAACTAATCACTACAATAATGTCAAGCGAAAGCATCAACCTATATTTCGTTAGATTTGACACGAAGAAAGAATCCACTTGATCGATATTGCCAGCTCTCTCACAGACGCCCGCGAGGCTGTTCATCAGGGGTTGAGAATTGGCAACACAACTGAACCTCATAATCATCTCACCAACTACTCTTGTTGAAGAATGAGCTACCTACAATGTAGGGAGAAGGATAAAGAAGACCACTCAAAATTCATGAGAATGATATTACAAAATATGGATTTCATTAAAAAAACAAGTTTACAAAACAAAAGAAATAAAAGACACAACTTTTCTCACAATCCTTCCCAAGCAAACTCCTAGAAGTTCTCTCCAAGTCTTTCTCTCTTTACAAGCACTCTCAATTCTCTCTTAGAAGTGTAATAAAGAAGAAATCTCTCATCTTCTCTCTCCTCTTACAATCCTTGAAAAAAATCTCCAAGCTCTTGACTTTCTGTCTCTCTCACTCTAACTCAGAGCCAAAACAACCAATTTTGGGATTCTGGCACATCATTTGCTAGATTGGTGCATGATGCACCAAAATCTAGAGAGCCGACGCATGATAAGACAGATCACATGATTTGCCAAATAGGCGCATGATGCTCCAGGGATGACTTTTTCAAATTAAGGCGGGGTTCGAGATGAATTTTGCGTGAATTTTCAAAGGGACACTTGTTCTACACACCTTTTGGAGTAATTCAATGCATCTAGAAACTTTAGAAGGTTCTTTTATGAAAGGATATGACTCTTGGATCAAATGACACATCTTTTGAATTAAAAAGAGTTGACTTTTGGAGGAAATTTTGAATTCTTTTCCAAAGGAGGTAGCCCAAAATAAAAGAAGAAGACTTCATAGTGTTGGAGGAGGCTTTGTGTGTGACGTGAGGGAGAGAGAAAAAGTGGTGTGAATTACAGAGAGAGAGAAGAGGAGATTTTCTGTTAGGGTTGTAAGAGGAGAGGGAATGTGAGAGATTTCTTCTTCATTACACTTCTAAGAGAGAATTGAGAGTGATTGTAAAGAGAGAATGACTTGGAGAGAACTTCTAGGGATTTGCTTGGGAAGAATTGTGAGATAAGTTGTATTTTTATTTCTTTTATTTTGTAAACTTGTTTTTAGATTTTGTAAACTTGTTTTTAGATATGAAATTCGTGTTTTTTCGTATCCTTCTCATGAATTCTGAGTAGTCTTCCTTATCCTTCTTCATAGCCTCCTCCCTACTTTGAAGATATGGTTTTGTGAAGAATAGATTTTATTTTCTATGATTTTATATGATAATAATTTGTGATGACTTGAATTCCGATCTTCATTTACTTTTTGATCTGACCAATTGAAATGCTAAAACTTGTTGAGAGACATATGTTCTTAAATGAGATATGATTTCTACAAAATAAGGAGAATTGCATTTAATTTCATGGGAGAGTATGTCATCCATGGGACTGGTTACAAATAAATAGGGAAATATACTTTGTTGGATGCAAAATTAAAAATTTTAAAGTGCAAAATTTCAGTTGATTGGAAACTAATGCGAGATTGCCAGCCCTTAAGAGAGGGAGTAGTAAGAGCTCTAGAGTGGCAATCGATATCCTCCCAGCCTAACCATGGAATTAGGGACCAAACTTTGAATTAGTCAATGTTCTTTATAACACTCGAAAGAGGGTAAAGAATAGGATTGCCCTTATTTTGTACAGAATAGTTTATATATATATATATATATATATATATATATATATACTTTCAAATGATTTAAATTTCTTCATAAACCATATATTCATTAAACCAGATATTGCAAAATTAATGAGATACTCTGCAAAAGAGCAAGAGATTGAATGCTTCAGAATGAATATTAATGAATATTTAAGCCATGAAGATTTTAAGAAAACTTTTGAAAGAGAATTTAAAAAGGAATATATGAAATATCAAGATGAAGATATAATTCAAGATGAATATATGGAAGTGATTAAAGAGGATATGGATTTTGTTCATGAAAGATTTAAAATGTTAGATCCTACAGAAAGTAATAAGAATTTGATTTCATCTATTGATAAGCCCCCTGAACTACAATTGAAAATGCTTCCTACACATTTGAAGTATGCATTTTTAGGAGGTTTATCTACATTACCTGTTATAGTATCCTCAGAATTAATTGATATGCAAGAACAATAGTTGTTGGAAAGTTTAAAAAAATATAAGAAAGCCTTTATATTAACATTGGCTGATATTAAAGGAATTTGTCCTTTAAATTGTATGCATAGAATCTTATTAGAAGATCAACATGAACCAAGAGCTGATCCGTAGAGGAGGTTAAAACCTATGATGTTAAAAAAACCTATGATGAAAGAAGTAGTAAAGAAAGAAATTTTAAAATGGTTAGATGCTGGAATAATATATATAATTTCAGACAATGCTTGGGTTAGTCCAATTTGCTGTGTTCCAAAGAAAAGATGTGTGACTGTCGTGACAAATGAGCATAACAAATTAATATCAACAAGACAAGTTTCTGGTTGGTGAATCTTCATAGATTATAGAAATATAAATTCTGCCACCAGGAAGGATCATTTTTCATTAACCTTTTTAGACTAGATGTTGGATAGATTAGCAGGGAATAAATATTTTTATTTTCTAGATGAATATACCAGTTATCACCAAATACCTATTGCTCTAGATAATCAAGAGAAAACAACATTTACTAGTCCTTATGAAACCTTTACTTTTCGGCGAATGCCTTTTGGATTATGTAATGCATATGCAACATTTCAAAGATGCATGATGCCAATTTTCAGTGATTTGATTGAAAAAAAGATTTAAGTCTTTATAGACGATCTTTTTGTATTTGGAACTTCATTTATGTCTAAATCATTTAGAGAAAGTTCTTGAACGTTGTGAAAAGACTACTCTCATATTAAATTGGGAAACATGTCAATTTATGGTTGCAGGAGGAATTGTGCTTGGGCATAAAATTTCAGATAATGGGCATAAAATTTCAGAAAATGGCATGAAAGTAGATCCTGCAAAAATACAGGTTATATCAAACATACCTCCACCTACTACAATAAGAGGAGTTAGGAGATTATTAGGACATGCTAGATTTTACAGGAGATATATTAAAGATTTTTCAAAAATTACTAAACCTTTATGCCAACTTCTAGAAAAAGTTACAAAATTTGACTTTAATCAAGATTGCCTTGAAGCCTTTAAAACTTTAAAGGAAAAATTAATCACTGCTCCTATAATTTGACTTTAATTGTTTCACCTGATTGAGAGAAACCTTTTGAATTAATGTGTGATATTAGTGATTATGCAATTGGAGCTGTTTTAGGGTAGAGATATGATAAGATTTTTAAAGTTAAAACTATGCTAGTAATACTCTTAATAATGCTCAAATTAATTACACCACAACTGAAAGAGAATTATTAGCTATTGTGTATGCTTTTGATAAGTTTAGATCATAGCTGATTAGAGCTAAATGTGTTGTGCATACTGACCATTCGACTATTAAATATTTGATGAAAAAGAAGGATGCTAAACCAAGATTAATTGGATCGGTACTTCTGATGCAAGAGTTTGATTTTGTAGTAGTCGATAGGAAAGAGATTGATAATCAAATTACTGATCATCTATCAAGGCTAGAACAAGAAGAAATATTGGATATCAAAAAAGAAATTAATGAAACTTTTCATGATGAACAAATTTATGTTGTAAAAAGATGGGAAATACCTTGGTATGCTGATATTGTAAATTATATTGTTAGTTGTATTTTACCATATGAACTAACAAAATAGCAGGAAAAGAAATTCATTCATGATGCAAAGCCTTATTTTTGGGATGATCCTTATATATATAATTAATGTAATTATTTAATGATGAGAAGATGTGTGCCTTATAAAGAAATTCAAGAGATTATTCAAAAATGCTATGATACTGAATTTGGACGACATTTTGGGAATGATATAACTATTTGTAAAATTTTACAATCTGGATTTTATTGGCCTACTCTATTTAGAGATGTTAATATATATATATATCAAAACATGTGATTGGTGTCCGAGAGTAAGTAATATTTCAAGGAAAGTGAAATGACTTTAAATTTTAATTTGGAAATTGAAATTTTTGATGCGTCGGGATTAGATTTTATGGGACCATTTATACCTTCATTCAGATGGATTGAAGCAATCTTTTTACCTCGATGTGATGCTCGGAGTGTTTCAAAATTTTTAATTAAAAATATTTTTAGAAGATATGGAATGCTGAGAGTAATCATTACCAATAGAGGATCTCATTTTAGAAATGCAACAATAACAAGATTGGTGGAAAAAATAAAATATAATGCATAAAATTGCAACTGCTTATCATCCCCAGACTAGTTTTTTAGCAGAAGTATCTAATCATGAAATTAAGAGAATTTTGAAAAAGAGTGTTAATCCTAGTAAAATGGATTGGACTACTAGATTGGATACTGCATTATGGGCATATAGGACAACCTATAAGACAGCTATGGGAATGTCCTCTTATAGATTAATTTTT